TGTTGAGGTGACAATATACTGGATCTTATCCTAACTAATCACAGCGACATGGTTTCAGATGTAGAGGTTGGAGAACCAATATCTGATCATAACATCGTTACATTCAAAGCAAACGTTAATTTTTACTAAAGAAAATCTTCTATAAAAAAGTTTTATAATTTTGAGAGGGCCGACATAATTAAACTTCAGGTCAGGCTTGAATGAATTGTTCAAACATATGCCATGGGAATGTGTATTTGCTTCGAACACTATTGACTATGATGGAATGCATGGGTTGATCTTTTTAATGCTGCAGTCGACCGGTGTGTTCCCAAGAAAAGCAAGAAGAAAAATCGCTGCGCCCCGTGGATCTCAAATGACATAAATAAACTTGCTCGTAAAAAGAAACGTTTTTAAAAGAAGGCCAAAGCGCGTGACAATGCTGATTTATGGTCCAAATGCAAGAATGTAAATAACATGCTTAAACACGAAGGCGCACTATATAAGAGTACGTGACAAGTTGGACTTTGTGTGGACCATCATGGACGCCATGCTTAGAAAACTGATAGCCTTGATTTGTTTTGACATTTTTCAATCGGAGTGATAACGGAATGCTTTAATTGGTTTTCCTTACGATTAGAGTATTAAGCTAAGGGAAGACTGCTTACATTTATTATTTTAAAGAGGTGTACATTATTTTCCTTTTTTATTTATTTTTTCCTGGGTGCAGTGATAGTAGAAGTAAATTCTATTTTTATTTTCTCGATCAGGCTCTCTGAGCATTGCAGAAGCTCTTTAGAAGTTGGATTTTGTGTGTGCCCTGGACGCCATGGTAAGAAAACTGAGAGCCTTGATCTGTTTTTACAATTGTCAATCAAACATGGAGTTTTTGCCAAAGCAACCTTTTTATCGAGTTGGCTTTAAGCACATACATGCCTTTCTTGATGAGACACGTCTGCCATAAAATCCGTAAGAAAACGCTCAGACATAAAAGAGGGTGGTAAATTAAAGGGAAGGGGAACGGTCGTTTTACCATTCACTAGTTTCGAGAAAACCCTAACAAACTATACATCACAAGAAAGCTTAATAAATGCAGTTTACGATAAAAATACAATTCAGGCGTTTTTTGTTTAGAGAGTATCAGGGGCCGGTAAGGCGC